TACTAAGCCGTTGGACAAAACAGCTTCTTTAATAACCAGTGGTAATAAAACATATTCACAGCGTACAGAGGGGAATCTCACATCATCTCCCCTTTTTAAGGAACATTTTTAAATATGTGCAGATTCTCTAAAGCAGGTAGTGGCTCCCTGGAGAGTATGAAATGAGAGGCAGGTGCTGTGGAGCCATGGGCATCTCTCAGCTGCTTTCCTCCAAACCCAAAATGTGTGGCTGACCATGTGGGTTACCCCCATGTTGGGCACCATTTGTAATCGGAGATTGTTCTTTTGTTTCTTGGCCACTCCAACCCAAATAATCACATAGAAACTATATTAATTACAACACTGGCCAGTTAGCTCAGGCTTCTAATTAAGTAACTCTTACATCTTAAATTAACCTATTTCTATTAACCTATGTATCACCATGAGGTTGTGGCCTACTGGTAAAGTTCTGGCATGTCCTTCTCCTTTGGCAGCTACATGGTGTCTTCTTGGCTCCGCCTACTTTTTCTCTGTATTGCTGTTTGGATTTCCTGCCTGGCTTTACTAAGCCATCGCCAAAACAGCTTCTTTAATAAGCAATGATAGTTAAACATATTCATAGCACACAGAGGGGAATCCCACATCACTGTAAGGGTCTAGAAGATTTCAGTGTTTAGTTATGATGATGTATAGAAGCCATGTATAGAATTATTTCTGCATGGCTTTTAATCATAATTTCAACTAAATTAAGCATCCTTAAATTGAGCTTCATTGAAAAGTCACAGTGCATGACATATTTCCCATTTTTCTTCTCATTGTTGTGGTAATTTCCCAGCATTTCACATACATGGTCCATGTAAACCACACACTGCAGACAGATAGTTGAACTTTGTTTTCCAGATATTATTTTGGATAAGTAAGATTTTTTTTAAAAAATCCTAAATTTGATTCATGATACTCACCTATTGTATTATTTTTTGTTTACTTGACCTTTTTATATATTTTTACTAAAAGTTCACACAATATATTTTGATGGTCCCTCCTCCCAGATTCTCTCCTAATTGGTATCCTTCTGTCGGTGTCTTAGTGTCTGGATTTGGGCTCTTAGAGAGCACACTGACTTGTTGTTTAACACCATCCGTATGAGACAGAACTCCTATGTTGAAAGAGTACTCAAAACAGGCAAGCTTTTTAACATTGTGATTTAACACTTATTTATGCATAAATGTCTCTACTAAAATTTTAGTATTTATTTTTGGTTGGTCTCATTTCTTGATTTATTTATTCAATAAATTCATTAAATTACCATTGTAGACTAAAATCTTACAGTAATGAGTTTTAAAGTTTAACAAATTAATGGCTTATAAGTTTTTGTACATTAATATATAGAAAAGTTATAGGTTTAACACATATCAATATATATCCAATTGCTTATTTCACTTGAATTGCTTTTAATATTTTACCTGCCTCAAAAATCCTTATAATGAGTACAGTGAATTTTGAAAATTTTTGAAGGTGCTGGAATTTTTAGTTTCTCTTTAGAACAATTATACCTTTCTCTAAATTATAAAACACAAAAGCAAACTCACTAATTTATTTTTGAGCCTTAAAAATCTTTGCAACAGTTTTTGAATGAATAGTGAATGTATCAGTTCCCAGAACTTTAAATGCAGTGTACAACACGCACTCATCCTTGTCCTTGGTGTGCTCTGTTTTTCTACTTTCATCTTGTTTTTCTTTCTTCCTGAATCTATCAGTTCAGGAACTCTCTCTTTAGACATGTCTGTGGGTGGTCCTCAGGGTTGATCTCTAGCTCCCCAACCACTAATTCTGTTTTATTTTGTATAGAAAAAAGTGAGTTGAAAGCTGTATATACTCACATCTGAGATCTTCAGTAGTAAAATTACACGTTCAGTCTGGCTGCCAGCACAGAGCAGGGTCCCTGGGGACCCCCAGCAGCTGTGGCCACACTGCCTTGCCTGCTGCTACCTTTAAGTTGTCGTTGAAAAGTTCTGAGAGTGAATCCTGCTGAAGTTTTCCACTCGATGGAAAATATTAAGACTCACTGAGTAGTGCAGAGAGAATGAAAAGCCTGGGTTGGTGGAAGGCAGTGGAGGAAGTGACCAGTAAGGAAGGCTTCAAAGAGAGGAAGTAAAAGACAAGCTCCCTAGAGATAAAGGAAGACTAGAGAGCCTTGGGCACCAGGCAGGCTCCCCCACCTTGCCTTTCATCCTGACGTGCCAGCACCACGCTCGCTGTGCTGGAGAGTCTGTGACTGCCTGCTAATTCCCAAATAGATCACAGATTTCTTAACTTCAGAAGCAGTACCTGCTCCACGTAGCCAACCCGTCTAACTCCCACCCCACCCTTTCTCCAGCTTTGTCACTCATCTTTGTATGCTGCTGCCTTCCAAATCTCACCTTTTGGAACCTTTGCCATGGAATGAACTGTGATCTTTACCAATAGAAGCTGTACCCAACCTGAGACCCGGCTGTTTATGCAGCAACCCCTCCCTTGCCTGGACTACCACAGCACCCTCTCTTCCCTGCTGCCATTCTCCCCAGAGGACAGCCACTCCTGCTGGCTACACCCCTGTGCCTCATCTCTTCCATGGTACCTCCACAGTACTGCATATGAAGATGTGCTGGCTGGATGACAGAAGATACCGCACTAAAATTAGGGAGTCTAACGTAAATTTCATATTTATATCTAGAAATTAAAACCCAGGTAGGAGTATTAATTCTTAAGTTAAAACGTTCAGTTCCTCGAGCAGGGAGCTTCAGTCACTGGAAACAAGATGACGACTCCCACCCTAGCCTGGTGTCTGTGGACATCTGATCACTGCCATCTATGGGCAACTAGCGCCAGGTCGCAGGCCTAGTGACCCCAGCATGAGCAGGACAGCTGGCGTGTCCTGGGCCTTCTGAGTGCTTTCTCATGGATGTAAAAATATAATTACTTTCCTGGTAAATTCTATGCATGCAAGTACCAGTGACAGATATTTTTAACGGTAGACCCAAAACGTTGCAAATACCCAGTTGATACATATGAGGAGAACTGTCATGTTTTCTCCTGCTTAGCTTTTCTGTGTGAACTGAATCCAAATGTATCTGAATTTTAATAATTCAAAGAAAGTATCTATGCCAACATTTAGAGAAGAAATAGCTGCCAAGGAAAACCTAGCAGCATATTCCTCGGTGGTGCTGAGTTAATAGAAGTGTACAGGAGGGAGCTGCTCTAATTAAATTGAACTCATATGCAAATGTGCACATTCTCAATTAAAATCGCATTGTTTATTTGTATATTTAAAACCTTCTCTAGAGCCTTTGACATGTTCAGGAAATCTAGCTTAATATGACCTTAAGTACCTTTCCAGCCACTAGTCTCCAAAGAAAACAACTTTCTTGTTTCCTTTAGCTTTGTGTGGACCTCAACTTTATTCTCAGTTGCTGCTATATAAAAAAAAGGAAGAAAGAGAGAAAGAAGGAAAGAAAGAAAGAAAAAAGAGAGAAATGATTCCAAACCCTGCAATTGTTTCTTCCCATCCCCCCCCGCCCCCTTAACCATGAAGATACTCTGGTACTTTTATGTTGTAGGGTATGTGTAGGTGAGACCATATTTCCCCGAGGGGTACTTGCTGTCCTTCAGTCTCTTTTAGAAGTCCCACCGTTGCCTCGTTGTTTCCCAGGCTCATCCGCCCTGTGTGGAGGAGGAACTGAGGAAGGCTGTAGTAAAAGCAGGGGACGTTGGGACATCCCAGGAGAGACTTAGATATTCTCAAAGAAAATGCTGCTGTGGTCAGCCATCGAGACACATCTTGTAACATGGTGGCCTTGGGAATTTTTCAAGCTAAAGCCGTCAAAGCTGAAATTAAAAGGAAAAATCCGCTTCCATCAAGACTCTCATTTTGACGATAACACTGTGTGTACCCTTAGGGTTTCTGTGTGGGTCCACAGCTCTGTGGATGTTTTCAGTTTCACTTAGTCTATAGTTGGGAGTGTTCCATGAATTTTTCCTTTGGTTAGTTCTACTAAATAATAGAATGAACAGTGTTGGGTTTCTTTCATATAAATGCTTTCCTTAAACTCTCAGTTTCCTTATAATTACAAAGTATATCAAACACTGCTTCTATATTTTATAAAGAAGTGCTAATTATTATGTTTAATGTAGATATATCATTAAATTGATTTTTGGGGTTTTTTTTTCTGAGACAGAGTTTTTCTGTGTAACTTTGAAGCCTGTCCTGAAACTAACTCTTGTAGACCAGCCTGGCCTCACAGAGATCCGCCTGCCTCTGCTTCCTAAGTACTGGGATTAAAGGTGTGTGCCACCACCACCCGGCTGATTTTTTTTTATGGTTTAGGTTAATGATTAATAGCCAAAATAGTAAATATCTGAGTAACCACAAAAGAATCTGTTACCAACAGTCTCAGTTCTAATGAGTAAGAGACAATGACAGATTCTGTTGTAAAAGCTACAGTCAGTATATAATGCGAGAATAGAGGGGCAAGGCATTTATCGCATATCAAAATGTTGATTTTTCTGACTTAATTCTGTAATTTCATAAGAGTTATCTTAAGTAAACTGCATCTTCTGTTTTGTGTTTTATCAAAAGAAAAAAATTAAGAAGTGGTAATTTAGAGTCAAAAATCGCACTATGAGCCAGACTTAGCAGAGTCTGCTGTCAGCCAAGACTAATGTTCTTTGATCTCACAGTTAAACCTTCCTGTCCTCCAAATAAATGAAATGGCCTTTTTTCCTCCTCAAATGTTCAACAGACCTTTTGCCATTTGATAGGACCATTATTTTAACATGTGATTTGGAAAACAGCATTGACTGTGGCATATTTGCTATTCTTAGCCTGGTGAGCGAGCTGGAGGTAGATGAATGGTACAGCTTAGAAAGAAAACACATGCTAGCAACTACAAATAGAGAGGTTCTCCAGCAGCGAGACTCTCGTTTTAGGGCTAGATTTTTGTTGGCATGTTTGGCATTATGACGATTATTGTTTTTCTTTCCAGCTGTTACACATCTGTATTGAAGGCTGGGGTAACTGGCGTTGGTCAGAGCCCTTCAGTGTGGATCATGCCGGGACATTTATTAGAACGATTCAGTACAAAGGTCGAACTGCTTCCCTCATCATCAAGGTTCATCCGCTCAGCGGAGTGCAGAAACAGGTGAGTTTCCCTGCGTTTGTGCCCAGACAGCACTGTGTATAACAGACATGAATCCTAATTGTAATCAAGGAACAAGGAAGCGAAGCAACGCCTGCCTCTGTCCTGACACCGTGCACTGCTGGTGATGCTGTTGATGGTGGTGGCTCCCAACCCCTGTCCCTGTCTTTTACAGGAGTTGCTAAGGAGGAATAAAATTTACTGACTTTAGCTCCACCTTCTCTCCCATCACCACCTGCCTCTGGTAGAGGTGCTAATGAGCTGTGAAATAGCCAAAGGCCTTTTCTGAGCTGGAGAAGAGGAGAGCAGCAGACTGGCTTATCCACCAGTGGATAACCAAGAGTTGTCCTCAGGCATGTGCACATATGAAGAGTGTGTGTAAACGTGTTGCCATTCTCTCCTGTGACAACTGAGCCACGCTTCAGCAAGCTTTGCTTTTCCTAAGAGTGAATATTAACTGCAGCAAAAGTTCACTGCAGTCTGACTCTTGGCATAGAAAACCTCAGCTCTCAGCACATATTTTTAACGTATTTTATAAAACTTCCTTTTGGCCGTTTTTGAAGTTCTAAGACTGCAAAGGGAAAAAAGTATCTGACACTTTTTTTCTGTGTTCTTAAGATGTGAAAATGTGGTTTCTAAAAGATGTTTTTCAAGTATGGAGCATATGACAAAAGTAGAAAGGAAAAAAGGGAAGTATTAAAATCTGAAAACTGGCTTCAGCACACACACACAATAGCTGAGTTTGTCATAAGGGTTTTCACATCCACGTCTGCATCTGGATCATAACAGGCAAAGTGACTTATGTGAAGATCTGGGGGCCTGTTAGGGTCAGCACTTAGTCCTGGGAAAGGGCACCCTCTGAGGGAGCCACGGGGCTCTTCTCAAAAAAACAGGCGGCCAGCAGCTGGCAAGAAGGGATCTGGGCCTCAGGTTCTCATGACTGTGGACAACAGCAGTGAAGACAGAACCCACAGCAGAAGACCACCACCCCTCAGAGTACTGACTGTCCACAGGACAGGAGAAAATGCACAATCTCAAGGATGGGACTTAGTCTGAGTTCTTAAGTTGGAAATTCATGTAAACCCTGGCCTGTTCACCACTGCAAGTTTAAGGAAATTTAGAGGCACTGAAAAGGTAATGCTTCGTTGAGTCTTTGAAAAATTTGTAGATTTTTAAGAGAGGGCACTGCAAACAAACATAATCAAGTAGACAACGACATAAACATGGAACAAAGGGCTGACGAGAGGACCTGTCTGCTGATGTGAAGAAGAGTCCTCCTGTCTGTCCTAAGAGTTCTTAGATGGTAAATGTGGTCACTAACAAATACATCATCCACCTTCCCATTTACTACCATGTCTGAGAAGTGCTCAATGTTCTTGGGTGTGAACGCTTTTGACAAGAGACCCGATGTCACACACCTCGTAGTCCTTTCTATGGCTAGGCTCTACCAGCTCTTAGGAAATTCTTTATGAAACTGGATACAAAATCTTCTACCAAGCTTTTACTGTTCCCCATAATTGTAAAGCATACACAACAGCACACAACGTGCTGTGAGGACTCTACAAACAGCCTCTATAAAATAGCAGACAGCACAAAGAACAGAGCCATACCCAGCAGGCTGTGTTTAAATATTTGCATATATACAAATATCGGTTTGAGAGTCTGGGCAGGACTTGGGAGGAAAGGAAAGGAGGGGGAGTGATATGGTTATATTTTAATTAAAAGTATATTTAAAGGGCTAGAGAAATGGCTCGGCAGTTAAGAGCACTGACTGCTCTTCTAGAGGACCTGGATTCAATTCCCAGCACCCACATGGCAACTCAGAACTGTCTGTAACTCCAGAGGATCTGACACCTTCACACAGGCATTCATGCAGGCAAAAGCATCAATGCAGATAAAATAAAAATAAAACATTTTTAAAAGTAAGTAAGTAAATAAATAAATAAGGAAAAAACATTCCAATATGGATGGAAAGGTCTTGGAAGCTCCAGGTTGCAACAGGATACGTACATACAAAAACAGTTTTAAAAATCTTACCAGTTTTTCCTCTTTCCTCCCCTGTTCTTCCCACTCACACAAACAAGCAATATTTTAATTTTTTTCTTTGGATTTCATTTATTTTGCCATGATAATTTAGTGTTCAGATCTGGTGGTGTTATGATACATCCAAAATACAGAATTTTTTCAAGTGGTTGAGGTTAGGAGGAAAGGAAGTAGTCAAGTTTCTGGGAGCTTTGCCTCTTCTTCTTGGCCTCTTTCCTTCTCTCCCACCTAGATTTAGAGGGCTGCAATAGGCAGCAGCTGCCTAATTGCTGAGGATCCTGCAGGTCCCTGGTGTGCTGTAGACATGCTGGCCTGCCCTGGACAGCGGAGGGCTGGCCAGAACTCTCTTTAGCCTTGATAGTTGGTCCGACTTTCTTACATCACTTTTCACAAGTGAGTAGAGATGACCATGTACACAGTTTCCCAGGACCTCTGTGTGCTGTGCAACTACTGTTGTGCAAATGTTGTGCCCACATTTGCTTCTGCATTTCCTGTTTCTTCACTGCAGAACACCTACCAGTCTCAAAGCTCAAACGCATGTCTTCCTGCATCTCTGCACATACACTTTTAATCACAGTTAAGATATCGTTTTCCAGTGCATCTGGCGCTGCAGAGCTGCTCTTTCATATCACTGTTCTTCTTGGCACTGATCTAATAAGAGCTCTGAAACCTGCTAAGTGAAGTCACATGTAGAAATCGTCAGTGCACATCCTTGTGGCTTTGGGGAAAGCAAACAATTAGTGTGAGACCTGAAAACGTGCATTCAAGAGAACCCTGCATTTAAAGAAATTAAGTAGCTGTCTTCAACTGGTAAATAAATCTTGAAATTGTAGCCATGATTTGTAAAATAAAGGCACTGTAAGTTGGCCAATTTGAAGAAAAGCAGACAGAGCTCTCCTGAACCCTGTTCCCTGTGAGAGCTCCCTGCCAGTGACTGGCCATTTTGGATTTTCCCTCCCTGGCCATTTTTAAGGATTTTCCCTTTTATCAAATTTGAAAGCCTATTTAAAGGGCTTTTTACTTTAAAATAAAACTATAAAAACCCACCAAGAGAATCTTTGTCTTTAGAAGAATTGTGTTGCAAAGGTAGTTTGGTTTCTGTGAGAGAGCCAAATTCTTTCTCCATCTCCTGGGCTGCTAGGGTTGTGAAGTAAGCTCATACATATGTATTGCCAGGCCTGGCTGTACTAAGAATAAGCCATTTAGATATTACGTTTAGATACATTTGGAATTTTCAAATGTCTATTTAAACTAGGTGCTACTATGGCATCATAAGGCTTACTACCATAAGTGCCTACTAATCCCTAGCGTATGTTAAAAGAAAAGCTTGCTGCTAATTTAGGACTCATAGTTGAGTTTTATGGTTTGTTTTTGTGAAGGAATAGTTCTAAAAGATTATAATGGCTAGCATATCTAGGAGAAATAACAGTGAAGAGCAGCTTGTATCCCAACTGTGCTCCTAGAGAAATGGAAACAAACAGTTGTAAAGAAAATACTAGGGGTTGAAGAGACGGCCCAAGGCCTAAGAGTGCTTAATGACTTCAGTTTCAGGGGATAGACACCCTCTGTCCTCCTGTAGGATCTGCACACATGCACATCAGTGGAATACATCTTTAACAATAAAATGCCAAATCTTATCATTAAAATAATGCAACGTGCTACAAAAAGGTCATTTAATATTTAGTCTCTCATTCTAGGAGGTTTGACCTGGATAGATAATAATTCACTCAAATGCAGTTATTCATGGGGCCAGAGAGATGACTCAGCAGTTAAGGACATGTCCTGCTCTGCTAGGACCTGAGTTTGGTTCCCAGCACCCACAATGGGTGACTCACAGCCACCTGTAGCTTCCCTCCAAGGGATCCACACCCTCCTCTGGCCCCGACCTGCGCACATGGCAAACACACACACACACACACACACACACTCATAAATAAAACTTAATTAAAAATTGTTATTCGTGTTTATTCATGTAAATAATGGTACATTGAAATCATAGTCACAGTGTGCTATCAATGACAGGAAATGTATTAACTTTCAAGGTTACTTACATCTTGATGTTATAAGTTATGCATTTTAATCTTCATAACAAGGTGATAAGGCAGACTCTGTTATTTTGTTATGCTCCTCATCAGGAGGAGGAAGGCAAGCGAGTATTAGTTAACTCAGCATCTCAGTCCTGAGTCTACTTCCCTGCTTCTTTCTGTGTTTGATTTCCTAGTCTCATCATGGCTACACAGTCTCTGCTGTCATCTTATAAGACATCATGACAGATGCAGGGGACTTTCTGAGTCCCAGATTACCTCCTTTACCATTGAAGAGTGAGATCTTCACATTAAAAACACAGTTCCATGTTTCCCCTAGGCATTGACAACAGGAGAAAGGAGTTACCTTATACTATCTGAGTTCAGCTGAGGGCCAAGGAAGGTGCCTGGGCTGCCTTTGATACCTAAGCCAACTCGAAGTGTCTAACAGCAAGGGAAAAGAAGAACAAGCTTTTGAGATGAGCAGGGAGCCACTGGTGCTTGTCAAGTTTGTAAAATCTGAATTCACGAGTAGGTACTAGTTTTCTAAGACACTTATGTATTGGGGTTATCTTCAGTGTCGACTGTGGAACAGATTCAGTGGGAGCCACCTGGCAAACTACTCAACATTTGCATACTTGCATTTTCGTCTTCTCAGGGAATCGTACCGGCACCTACTTTATAAGAATTAAAATTTGTGAAAATAATTTGTATTGAGTTAGGGTTCTCTGACAAAACAGAGCCAATATAGTATAAGGGACTGATTGATTGATTGGTTGATTATAAATCAGTTCCCATTACTATGGAAACAGAAGTACCAAGATCTGCAGCCAGCAAGTTGAAGAGTCAGGCGATGTGTAGTTCCAGTCAGACCCTGAGGTGCTAGAGCCTGCAGAGCTGCCCGAAGATAGCACGTGTTCCCATCTGAGTGAAATGGCTGGAAAAGGGCGTGCCGTGCTCAGTCAGCAGGTGCACACCCTGGTCCTTAGCCCTGCCACATTGGCCGGAGGGTCAGACTGGTCTACTTCGTCTGCCTAGTCACATGGTAGTGTTGTCCAGAAATGCCCAGGATAATTAACATTTGACTAGATTTCTTGGCAGTCAAGTTGATATATGAAAACTGGTTATCTTAGACCTGTAGTAATAATGTGTCATAGCTGATACTATTTTATAATCTAGAACTATCACAAATAAGTGATACAGTTGTGTTGTAGTTAGGGTCTGGAGTTATAGCTCAGGATAGCGCACTGGACTAGGATGTGTGAAGTCCAGGGTTCAAGTTCTAATACTACAAAAAAGAAGGAAGTCCTGTTTTCCTTAGTAATAGTAAATCTTCATATTGCAGAAGGATCTGCTTCTAAAATATTAACTATGTAAGAGTAAGTTTTGTAATATCTTTCTAATTTCAATCATCTTAGAAAATATTTCTTACTACCTCCAATGGCCTATACTCTCAGCTGGGTGTAAAATTAGATAATCCATGAATTAAATGGAAACTTCTATTATTTATTTTTAAAGTTGTATGGTCCTACAATGTAGAAAAACAAAATGTAACTCTGTATTTCAATCAAAGCTCATTTGTATTAGTTCCCACCGCGATCTCTTAATAGATAAGATGAGCTCTTGGAAAGCAGCCTGGGGATCACAGCCACACTCATGTTACAGAGCTGAGTGCTGGCTCTCAACTCCTGTATCCATTGTCAGTACTAGCCATTTCCTGGCCAGTCACCTCTCGAGACACGCCAAAAGGACTTGCTATAGGTTCCCCTTTATACCGGGTCACCCTTCTCCAGCCCTTATCTGGCTCCTCACTCTGACTCGACCCTGAGTTTCTGCCCTGTCTGCAAGGTAAACTATGCACCAGCAGGCTCTCACAACTTTATCTCAGTCATCTTGCAAGAGCCTGACGGCTTCCAGCTGTTCTGGTCTATGTGCGCATCTCCTCTTGAAATATTACCAACTCTGTTTGATCAGAACGAAGCTCGTTCTTTGTTAAAGACTCCTTTCCTTTCCTTACTTCATTGTACTGCACATAAGTGGATCTCTGTAACATGAGGGGTTTCTGTCCTGCCCAGTACCCACAGCCAGCAAGTCCCAAAGAAAATCACACAGAGGTCTTCATAACTTATAAACTGATTGGCCCATTAGCTCAGGCTTCTTATTAGCTCTTGTAGCTTATATTAACCCATTATTCTTATCTATGTTAGACACATGGCTCAATATCTTTTTCAGTGGGGCAGGTCACATCTTGCTTCTTCCATGATCTGGGCAGGACTGGGGAAAGAGCTTTCTTCTTTCCAGAATACTCCTGTTCTCATTACCCCACCTCTACTTCCTGTCTGGTTTTCCCACCTATACTTCCTGCCTGACTATCGGCCAATCAGTGTTTATTTAAAATATAATTGACAGAATATAGAATTGTCCTGCACCAGATCTCCCTGAAGGAATACATTATTCTGGTTAATAACATCCAAATTGATTGATCTTTTGTGTATTTATATATTGTCTTTTAGATTATCATCTGTGGACGACAGATCATCTGTAGTTATTTGTCTCAGAGCATAGAGCTGAAAGTTGTTCAGCATTACATTGGTCAAGATGGACAAGCTGTAGTCCGAGAACACTTGGATTGCCTCACAGCCAAACAGAAATTGCCTTCGTACATATTAGAAAACAGTGAACTGACAGAGTTGTGTGTGAAGGCCAAAGGAGATGAAGACTGGTCAAGAGATGTGTGCCTGGAACCCAAAGCCTCTGAGTATAGCACTGTCATCCAGGTATGCTGGTATTGACATCTTAATAGGGTGACTTTAAAAGCAGAAATGAGCTGGGTGTCCTAGCACTCAGGAAGCAGAGGCAGGAGGATCTATGTGAGTTTGAAGGCAGCCTGGTCTACAGGGTGAGTTCAAGGACAGCCAGGGCCACACAGAGACCCTGTCTCGGAAAAAAGCAGAGATGTAGAAATGTTGTCATTGTGCGCCTCACTTGTAGTAAAATCACAGTGTATGTGCAGAGGGTGAGGTGGCAGGGGCTTCAGGCAGCCGGCCCCATCAGTTCTTCCCAGTCCATCTTCTATCACTCTCCATGCACAGGCTCCTCCTCCTCTGTGGAAAGGACCCCTTTGTCTCCCCACATTCCGTCAATGCCATTATGAAGTCTGGTTCGGCTTCGTTGGTTTTCTTAGTGACTTTTTTCTTTAACTGTAAACTTCTTTCATCATCCAAACTGATTCTCTGTGACTTGTTTTGCTTCATTGTCAAGCTGTTTAGAATCTAATGGGGCCTTTCCTTTCTCCTGCACAGGTGCCTTCTTCAAACAGCTCCATTATTTATGTATGGTGCACAGTTTTGACTTTGGAACCCAATTCTCAAGTTCAACAGCGAATGGTGAGTGCTTTCCCAATCCTGAAATATGGTGTACGACTCTGACCTTTCCTATTCTCAAATAAATAAGGTCAGAGTGACCCAGGGAAGAGATTTATTACAAGTTTGTTTCGGCATCAAACAGCTGGAATACTGCAGCAAAGAAAATATGAACGTTGTTCTTTTTATTTTTATAGATTGTGTTCAGCCCTCTTTTTATCATGAGGAGTCATCTTCCAGACCCTATTATCATACATTTGGAGAAAAGAAGTCTGGGCTTGAGCGAAACACAGATGATTCCAGGAAGAGGGCAGGAAAATCCGCTGCAGAACGTGGAGCCTGACCTCGTGCACCACCTGACGTTTCAAGCGCGGTATGAGCAGAATGGGTTGCTAAGGAAGCGCGGTTGAAAAGTGACCTTGAACTATTTTGGTTGCATGGATGCTTATGTTTTTGTCTGAGAAGAACGTTACTTTAAAACCGCTCTGCCTTATCTATAGGCTTAGACAGAATTTGGTCTTTTTCATTTAGCTTATAAGTAGCCAAGTGGAATCATTAAAAATGTAATTTACTTAGATTTTATTGACATGTTTCTGCAGAGAAGAAGAGATGACAAAGATCCCACCCAAGTATGGGCAGGTGGGAGGGCGAGCCAGGGCCCAAATCATCTAATAAATGTCATAAATCGCTAACTCCTCACAAAATAGTGTATCAATCTAAGTACATTTATAATTAGATTCATTCAATAAATTGTAGATCACTTAGAAATCTGATAATGTTTCTTCTTTCCATTTTTTAGAGAAGACTATGATCCTTCAGACTGTGCTGTTCCCATATCAACAGCCCTCATTAAGCAAATAACCACTAAGATACAACCTGGAGGCACAGTTAACCAGATGCTTGATGAGTTCTATGGGCCAGAACAGTCCCATGAACCCACTTGGCCTTATAATAAGAAGGATTCGGACAGGTAACAGTCATAATTAATTTTCTACGTGTACTTCTAAACATTAAGAAATAACCAATCACAACAGTACTAGCTGTGTTGTTCAGATTTGTTGTTGCTGAGACACAGTACCTGAGTAAAACACCTTGCAGGAGGAAAGATTTATTTGTCTCACAACTTCGGAGATCTCAGTCCACTAGAGTAGGGAGGGTATCACAGAGCCGAGCGGCTCCTGCCCGTTATTGCAGCAGAAACACAGAAAGAGAGTCTCCGCTGTTCGTTTTCTCTGTCTTGTTTTTATTCCCTCTCGGCCCCAGCCTGTTGGATGGTGCTGCTCACATTCAGAATTAATCCTTTCTTGAAACATCTTCATCAGCATACCCAGAGGTGTGCTTTGCTGGGAATCTCATATATACTTCTCAGTCCAGTCATTTATCGCTTGATTAGCCATTATGCCAGATGTGATAAACGCCACAGAGAAGACCATTTGCAAGCATCTGTCAGAGTCAGGTGTCATCTAGCTTGGTTCAGCCTTATAGATGTCTTTACTCGTAAGATGCTCTTTCCTGCTTGCAAATGCAGCCCTGGGTGAGCAGTGTGCAAAGGTATTCTGCGGGAACATTGTGTGTCTGGAATGCTTAAACATACTTCATAAATCCTGAGCTCATCATGTTTCAGTGAGCCTCTTGGATGTGTTTGGAACAGGAATGACCAGCTGAGTCAGTGGGACAGCCCGATGCGAGTGAAGCTGTCAGTCTGGAGACCGTGTGTTAGCACCCTGCTGATAGAGCTGCTGCCCTGGGCTCTGCTCATCAACCAGTCCAAGTGGGACCTCTGGCTGTTTGAAGGAGAGAAGATTGTTCTGCAGGTTCCTGCTGGCAAAATTATTATTCCTCCTAATTTTCAGGTAATACAACTAATTAAAACTAGAATATTCTTTTTCCTCAATAACTAGATTTTATTCTTAGTTTCTATGTAGGATCTTAACAGGATGAATCACTTGTGGAAAACTGACCTGGTAGTGCATACATAAAGAGTATGGAATGTTCTTTGATATTTAAACACTTTTCAGATGTGTTTGTCCTCATCAGCAGTGCTACCATGAATTATTACATCTGATAACACGTGCTACTTACATTCTCCTTCATACAGGATACTTGACAAGCACAAGAGCTGTGTTAAGCACTAACCACTAAGTCCTTTTTCTGTTACAACTGGGACTCAGATGTCCACAACTGTGAACGTTCACTTGTTGATGATAACACCGTAGATCATTAGTGACACAGGGTAGAAATGCTAACCAGGAAATAAATTTCACAGAACGACTTCATATTCTGACACCAGAAAACTGACTTTAGAAAACCAATCCATTTCAAGAAGAAATATGTGTTTGTAAGGAAATCTTCCTTTGGAGTTCCACTTACAAACATCTTTATTCAATTGTATATCTCCTGTTTCTTAAAACAATCAGATGCCATCACCTTATGGAACTGGAATGTTAGCCCGTATGGACTTAATGTTGCATGTTATTCTGATGTCAAATGAGATGAAACCTCACAGTCTTTAAGTCTTTGGAATTCATGGGGTAGTCACAGCTTGAGTTTGGTTTTTCTCTTTTCCATGAACTTAAATTTCATTGTGAACCAAAAAGGATATTGGAAACCCAAAATAAAATACATGTTCTTGTTACAAAAAAAAAGTAGAAAGGGATTGCTTGATTGTGTTATTAGATGTATTGTATATTTTTATTTATTTATTTTTTTTGGTTTGGGTTGTATTGGTTGGTTTTTCAAGACAAGGTTTCTCTTTGTATCCCTGGCTGTCCCTGGAACTCACCCTGTAGACCAGGCTGGCCTTGAACTCAGAATCCGCCTGCCTCTTCCACCCAAGAGCTGGGACCTTTTAAAGTCATACACCACCTCCGTCCGGCTTTGTGTAATATTTTCTTTTAATCCTGTAGATTAAATCCTGAAGTAAAATATGGAAAAAATAATAACAATAAAATTGAGGCATTATTTTTCCAGGAAGCTTTTCAGATTGGAATTTACTGGGCAAACACAAACACTGTGCACAAGTCAGTAGCAATTAAACTGGTCCATGATCTGACGTCCCCAAAGTGGAAAGATGGCGGGAATGGCGAAGTGGTGACGCTGGATGAGGATGCCTTTGTTGATGCTGAAATCAGACTCGGCGCTTTCCCAGGACGTCAGAAGGTAAGTCTGTGTGGATGTGTGGCAGGGGCATGATCCTCATTGTAAATCATGTATAGCAGTAAATACTTGTCCCTGCACTTCTGGTTTACAGTGGGTTTTTCCCCCTGGTAATAAATTTAGGTTATGTCATTTATCCAGTAACTGCCTCATTTCAGAACACGTACCAGTCACATGATTGATGGTATGGGGAGTGGACTTAGTCCCGAATGTTCACAAACTCCATTTGGCCTCCTCCTTCAGAACAGGAAATGGGGTGTCTAGCACTATGGGCAGGAAAGGCCACCCCGACCAGAGGGATAAATCTGATTCTCTTGTGGAATTAATGTCATAGAAGAAATTATATTATTCAGTGCATGATTGTAAGAAGTTTACTGGTTCTTTGAGAGTTAATACCTTATGTTTTGACCATATTCATTCCTCTCCCCCAGTTCTTTCCAGATTCACCCCCACTTCTATACCCAACAGCTTTGTATTCTTTAAAAAAAGATCGAGACCAATTTGTACTACCCAAATAGTATTATTTGATGTGTGGATTGAGGACGTCTTGGAGGGGGTGGGAGGAGGTGTGTCCTCTTAGAGCGCGCGCACACACACACTCTCCCAACAATTAACAATTGCCTATAGTTCTACTGCTAGGAATTCCACACCCAGCTCCTGTCTCCATGCCAGAATTTGGCCTGGCTTGACTTGCTCAGATCTTGAGTGTGCTGTCGCAGCTGCCATGTTCATATGTGCAGCTGCCTTGCAATGTCTGCATGACACCGTTTCTTTGTTTCATCCACTGCCTCCGGCCCCTACACGCTAATCATGCCCTCTTCTGCACTGATCCCTGAGCCTCGGGAGGTGGCACAGTACACACATTCCCTGCCATCTCTCTGTGGTTAGTCAACATCTACTGCAAATAGAGAATGCTACTGAGTACTCCCCAAAAAGGTAAAATTGGTACTGTCCTGGGCAGATCCATATATCAAACAACCCTTCAAGAATAGCTGAGGCCAGGTGCAGTGGTACACACCTGCAGTTCCAGCCCTTGAGAGACATAGAGGCATGGGAATTCAGAAACTGGGGATAGCTTGGGCAATAGTAAAGACTCTGTCACAAAACAAAACAAAAAATAGTCACTAAGTCTTCGTGTGTGTGTTTGTGGTGTAAAAACTGCTGTTTCTCCTTCTCACCCAGCTGTGTCAGTTCTGCGTCTCCTCCATGGTGCAGCACGGCATACAGATTATTCAGATTGAAGATAAGACTACAATAATTAATAGTACACCATATCAAATATTTTATAAGCCACAGTTGTCTGTCTCCAACCCCTATTCTGGAAAGGAGGTAAGCAATCCACAGCGCAGTTGTTCTCTTTGATTCTATCAATAGACTCAACTTTCTTTTAGCCTAGGGCAAAGAAAAAGCTAGCAGTGAATATAGAAATCCTGTTATTTCTGCAGGATTTGAGACCAGCAATGGCAAGTTGAAGTTGCCACAGTGAAAAGTGAGCAGGATGCTGCAGCAGCCCTGAGCAGTGCTGAGCCAGCTCTGCAGCAGCGTCTGCTCAGTGGCACCAGCATGGTCCTGAGCGTGAGCGTGAGCATGAGGACTAGTGTCACGTTAGGGCCTTTGAGTGGAAGCAGAACCACTGGCACACCGTGTCCCCATCTTGGCCACTTGTGTGAAAACACAAGGTCAGGGTTTCTTAGAAGAGATGCCCCTCTGCTGACATAGTGAGCCTGCTCCTCTGTTCTTTCCAGCATTTCCATGTTCCAGACACCGCTACTTTCAGCATTTGTCCAGGTGGAGAGCACTCTGCTATGAAATCCAGCTCCTTGCCTTGCTGGGACTTCATGCCTGATATGGGGCCATCAGTGGACACAGCCGTGCTGCAGAAACAGATACTGCTGGGCTTTTCTCCTGCACCAGGTGCCGACAGCTCGCAGTGCTGGAGCCTGCCAGCTGTGGTTAGACGAGAGTTTCCCAGACAGAGTGTAGCAGTGCCCTGTGGAACCTCGAGGGAAAATGGATTCTGCACCAGGTACTTTACACAAGTGTCAGTGCCGCTCATCAAGACCAGGACAGCAGTGTTTCCATATGTGATTCTAGGTTTTCTTTCATCTTTAATGACTTTTAGACATTGGATACCGTTGAACAAAGGTCATGATCACAAGCAGGTTGTCCGCTTAAAGATTTTTCCCCTTTGCACCGTATGCTGCAGGGGGGCTGGGAAATGGTGTTGTACCAGAGTGCATTGATGTATGGCAATGAGAACAAGAAGCAATCGTTTTAGGAGCTCTTGCTCTCTGGAGAATGATAAGAAATGAAGGAAAAATGAAGAAAGTCAAGTTGGGATGTTTTTCTTTTCCAATATTTTACTTTTACTTCAAAATGGAATTTTTCACAAAAGACATTTAGAGAGATAATAACATAGATGAACATAAGCCAAGGAATAGGCTGTGCTGTGGTTGTTCCTGCACGCATGCTGTTCCAATTGCAGATTACGGACTATGCAAATAACAACCACGGATTGGGTCAGAGACATGTAGGGTTTGTTCGCACTGGACGTGTATCTGTGGTCATTTCACATCAGCGTCTTCTTTCAGCTGTCAGGGTGTGTACAACACAGAAGAAAATGTGCTCTGACCTTGTGAGAGGTGCCTTCTTCTCAGGGTCCTGCTTTGTGTGCTCTGAAGTTTAAACCATCCCAATTTTTTAGATATGTGCAGAGATTTGTAATAACCATTTTAAAGATTGCAAACTAAAGGAAGAACTCCATAATGGCCAGATCCTGTTCCCTCCACACGTCCTTTCTCCGCTCATGTCACAAAGACCCTGATTGAAAAGTATTTTTCACCCCAGTCCTGTGAGGGTGGTTGTTTTTGTTTGGTTTTAGATAACATTAAGCATGTTGAGTTCTCTTTAAAAGTTTGTGTATTATTTTTAAATGGAAAGTCAAAAATTTTAACAAAGCATATGGACATTAGGTTTAAATTTGCTAAGACTCACAGTATAAATTAATCTTATGTGTAAATAATAAAGTAAATAAGTTAAAAATATGAACATATAGTCCCAGCCCTGGCTTCTATGGCCCAGAAAAATAGTCCAAAGCTGGCTTGCCCAGGTACTTCAGAGTACCTGGAAACGGCGTCCTTGTCCGTGTGAAGACTTCACTCTGAAAGGGAACGTGCCCTCTGCTCTCTCGTCTCCTCGTTCGTCCACCTCGGTCCAGCATGCCGACTGCACATTCACCAAATGCCAGTGCACAGCTGAGGACAGTTCTAGGGGAGGCCTCTCTGCAGATGCGAAAGGTTTTGATGCACCATTAACCCTTCTCATCATTGTAAGCTAAGAGCTGCATTTAGCAAATTACCTAATTTCCTTCATTTTGATCATTAGTGTAGTGCATCAGAGAGAATGTTTCCTCCTGCTAAGACATAAATACCATGTTAATCTGCAGGACAGTGGTGGGTTTCTCTTCGTGATAGCCACTTAAAAACAAGGAGTTCCAGCTTGCTGCGGTGAAAACGTAGGCCTGTAAAGTACGGGCCTTCTGTGCTGACTGCCAGCGCACAGATGGGTCTGCCTGCCTTTAGAGTGGAAAACAGTGCAAATGCACAGATTGTCAAGAAATTTCTAACAGTAAAAATTAAAACGACCCAGCTCTTTCTTTACCAAACTCTTTTGGGGAGGAGGAAAGTGCTGTACTTGAAGAGTTTAAGGCAGGCACAGAGGGAACTGGGGTGACAGGCAAGGGTGACCGGCAGTTGTCTGTCTTGATGATAGTGTCATGGAGGGTTTAATTTAAAATCATTTTTCACATTTTTGAATATTTTATAATAAATGCATATTACCACTACTCTAAAATTAGTAAGCCTACTTCATATACATCAACTATTAAATGAGGGACAGGCTCATTTTCTGGAAACACTGTCCTCTGAGCACGCTCAAGTGAACGGGGAACAGGAAGAAGCCATGTCCCCCGTGAACCGTACTGTCTGCTCTTTTCCAGGGCAATAGCACTGACATATCAAGAACACTTTGGAGTCACTTATTTAACCCTCTCAGAAGACCCCAGTCCTCGAGTAATTTTCCACAACAGATGTCCAATGACGATGCTCGTCAAGGAGAACATCAGAGGTGCGTGTCACAGCCCTGACGTGGGACAGCAGAAGACATGAGTGCTTTGGGGGATGTTGGTTTGGTAGACACCTATGGTCCTCTAAAGAGTACTTCCTACGTTGTCAGTCGCTGCTTCCACATTGTTGGATGTCCCTAAGTCTTTGTCCTTCACTCAAAGGTCTACATGGGCCCTTTTTTAAAATCTTTCAGATATTCCGATGTTTGAGGTTTATTGCAAAAAAATTCCTTCTGAGAGCTCAGTTCACCATGAGCTGTATTACCAGATTGTCAGTTACCCAGACTGCAAGACCAAAGACGTACTTCCCAGCCTCCTGTTAAGACTGGAATCAACGGGAGAAAGGACAGCTGAGTGGAGTGACGCTGTAGACATCAACAGTCAAGGGACTCAGGTCAGTGACTGCTCTTTCTAAACACAGCCCGCTTCCTTTTTTCCTCCCTCTCTCCCTCCCTCCTTTCTCCCTTCCCTCCCTTCCTGCCTCGCTCCTTCCTTCTTTCCTTCCTTCCTTCCGTGTATGTGTATGGGCACGCATGCACATGTGAAGGTCAGAGGACAGTCTGTGAAAATCAGTTCTGTCCTACCTCCAGATGGCTGACAGTACAGTTCTTGCTGCCAACCCTGATGACTTTAGTTCAACCCCTAAGACACGTGGGTCGAAAGAGAACCATTCCCAGGTTGTTTGTCCTCTGACCTACACACACCCACACAACACATAAGTAAGTAAACAACAAATAAATAAATGTGAAAATGTAAAATGCTGAGCTTGTCTCAGTGCAAAGGTACTTGTTCATACACTTTTATATCTTCATCAGGTCCTAGATTCTTAAATCTAGCACGCGGTAAAGTGAATCCATCTCACATCTAATACCTGTCAAAAATAAAATAAAATTACAGACTTCTTTATATGGAAAGTTCAGCTGTCCAGGTTTTCAGATGATTAGAGTTTTGATTCTAGATCAGTTTCTTCTTTTGAAAGTGTGCCAATTTTAAAATTATGCTAGTAATCTATAAAACCTCCATAAATATGTTTTTAGGCTTCAGCAATAAAATGTCTTACCTTACTCTAAGTGTTCCTGGTATTATTTTTATTGAAAATGACACTTGAACCTAGCATTTTTTTTCTCTGTTTTACTTAAAATTTGAATACTGTTTTCTGTCACCATGATAAAATACCTAAGAAAATCAGCTTAAATGGAAAAGATTTATTTTGCCTCATGGTTTCAGAGCTTTTAGTTTTGGCCAGTTCTATTCTTAGACCAGTAACAGGACAGGATTAGGGCACAAGAATATGGCAGAGGAAAGCCTCTCACCTATGGGTGCAGCAAGCAGGGAGGGGAAACAGACCAGAACAAAATACATCCCTGGCTTGCCCTTTATCCAGCTAGGAGACACTTGCTAGCGGTCTGCCCAGCTGTGAACTAGGAGTGACTGACTCCGTGATTACGTGAGCTCCCTCATGATCCACTCACCTTCCCAGCATCACCATCTGGAGACCCAGCCTTAGCACTTGTACCTCTGGGGCCTTTTACATCCAAGCCACAGCACTGACTTCCTAACTTCAAAGCTTACCATCATTCCAAACAGAAAGTGTTATCTTCCCATCCCCTGCCATGGTAGCCTCTATTCTGCTTTCTGTCTCTCTTAATTTGTCTACTCTAAGCATCTCAGATAAGGGGAATGATGAAGTATTTGTTCTCAGTGTCTGGTTTATTTCATTGAATATGTTGTCTTTATAGGATTTATCAGAACATCATTGCTTTTTATGACTGAATAAATTTGTGCTTATACTTTCTTATAGGTCTTTCACATTAGTCATTCTTTACAAAATAATGCAAAATATGACCTACCATACTAGCTATAAGTGTGTGTTAAAGTATAAAGTATTAACAATAATAATAATAGTAATCATTTAATAGCCAGTCTACGTCTAATGCAGTGCTGAGTGCCCTCACTCTTCTTTAAGCTTTAAAACAGACTCGTCCTAGCCGTGGGAGGGGAGCCCTCCAACAGTAGCATGACCTAAAGCCCATGCATTTAAAGAACCTCAGAGTGCATCCGGCCCTGCCTAGCTCCAGCATGTACTGTCTGTGCTGGTCTTCATTTGGACATCCTCATAGACGCTCTTTCTCCTATCAGGAGTTCGGAGAACCCCTCGACAGTCTCCTGCCTCCCTCTATAGACTTGTATAGCATTTATAATTTTAATTGAACTTCTCTTTTCTTTAAGCATTAAGCATCCATCTTAATCCTCTATGTGATATTTATTCAACTTGAATAAAAAAAAGTCAAAGACAGTTCTGCAATACAAATACAAACCATTGAGATGTCGTTTTTGTTTCAAAGAAAGCACCACACTCACTAGTTTACTCAATATCAAATTCACGTAGGTGTTCTTACTAAAAATTTTTGTCTTTTTTATATATTTTTATACATGTGTATCATATACTTTGATCGAGTGCTTGTCTTCCTGAGTCTGGTTTATTTTATCTAATTTGATGATGTCCAGTTTCATTCATTTTCCTGAAAGTGACATAATTTAGTTCTTTATATTTGAATTTGCCATTTCAAATATGCCATTGTGTGGATATATCTTGATAGAGAGAAAGAAAGAAAGAAAGAAAGAAAGAAAGAAAGAAAGAAAGAAAGGGAGAGAGAGAGAGATCACAGATGATAGGTGATAGACAAGTTTTAGATATACGTAATGTTTTCCTTATCCATTAATCTGTTGATACCTACCTAAGTGTACTTAGATGATTTCCTATCACATCCCCATGCCCATCCTCAGCCTTTGGCCCAGTACCTGTAAGCACACTGAGATCTTAATAAGTTACTGACCAAATGAATAGGTTGAATAAGAAGCAATAGTTGTCATAAGTCTGTGTATAGACCACAAGCGTCTCAGCTGTAACCTACAAGCATAGAGCACCAAGAGAGACGAGGAGAAAAGCACCAGATGGTGTCAAAAAGGCCCTCAGCAAGAGACTGACAAGGTGAAAGCCAAAAACCAGAGTAAGATAGTAGAGAGAGTTGCAGGCTGGGAGTGAGCAGAAGGCCCTAGGACATAGGAGGCGAGAATGTGGATGGCCCATAAAAGTGTGGTCAGTGTGAGTGCAGCTCTTCATGACAGGAGAGGAGCAAGTGGGGGGTTTGTAGAAGAGACAGTACCCAGAGAGACAAACCCAAGGAACAAGAGAAAAATTCCAGTCACCAGAGGGGAAGGAGGCAGGAGCGGCACAGGAGTAGCTGGGGCCGTGCAGAGGTGGAGGCTGGGAGTAGACTAGAGCTTCTGGAGTAGATAGTGAACGGCCTGCTAAGGGAGAGAAGAGCAGTAGCTGTGAAAGAAGATGACAGTCAGAACAGAAGGAAAGAAGGTTGAGCAGCCTGGAGAGCCGCATCACTATGGTCACCTGATCTGCAGTGTCCCAGTGCCCCGGGACAGAGCTCTGCATCAGCAATCCCCCTACCGCACCTGTGCAGCCCTTGACACGGTGAATCCTGTGCACTCCCAAGTGTCCTTGAACCGCTGCTTCAGCTTGAAGACTGTTGAAATTCTTCATAGTAGGCATGCTGCCTGCCAGACTTTATTTTGGGAGTTCCTGTTTACTTGAAATCCCTCAGCCTTTTGTACTGGGAACACTTCAAAGCTCAGGAGAGGTGCTCTTTCCGACACCTTGTCACCTGTGGGGCAGGACCCATGGAGGCTCATGTTCCCATTCATCTTTTAGGAGCTGTGTGCCATATGTCCTGCAGACTGGCACATTTCCTCCTCTGAAAGAAGATGTCTTTCAGACCTTCTCACACATCTTCTCAATAATACCCAGGCATGTAAACCCCTTGGGGGAGAAGCAGCCTTGGTAAGCCTGGTAGTCAGAACCTTATTTCTGGTAGTCAGTGGTATATTGAAAAAGCCAAAGCAGTATGCAGAAAGCACATAAAAGTTACCATAACTAGCCTGCTCCATCAGTACAAATGCTGGGCTTATGATATGTACCAGATACTAAGCTTGGTGCTGTCAAGTGTGCATGTGAAAGAGATAGTCATTAGGAAGAACAGTTGTGAAGACAGGAAACAGGTATCTTCACGGGACGCAGGGCTGGGAGTGTGCCTCTGGGCAAGGACCTGACTGCCCTCGGCACCTTCAAGGCTAGAGAGGCAGGGATTAGACAGGAGGGTAGGAGAATTTTCTGAGCAAAAAGAACATGTTTGAAGCTTCAGAGCTCAGATTGAAGCATAATCATCTTAGGACACTAAATGCCAAGGTGGCTATGATGCCAAGTGCAAGAAAAGGCGAAACCAGAGGGCTCAGGACATTTAGAACTTGGTACGACCAAGTGTGATCTTACAAAGACTGGGACTCACCTTAATATCATCAGAGGTCACTACATTGTTTATACAAAGCCATTCCTTTTCTATCTCTGTGCATGCATGTGCATATGGGTGCATACATGCACAACATACATGTGGAAGTCAGAACCCTTCTCCTTTGTTTGAGGTCGTCTCTTCAGAGACTTCCTGGTCTCTTCCCCCTTCTATCTTGCCATAGGAACACGGAAATTCACATACGTGCTCAGTATCTAAACTCAAGTCCTCACACTTAGGTCGCAGGGACTTTACCCAGGAAGCCATGTCCCACTGCCTGAGTGCAGTCATTTCTGTGCCATTAAATGACAGGGTTGTTTTTCGAGACAGGGTTTCTCTGTGTAGCCCTGGCTGTCCTGGAACTCACTCTGTAGACCATACTGGCCTCAGACTTAGAGAGATCCTCCTACCTCTGCCTCCCAAGTGCTGGGATTAAAGGCGTGTGCTGCTAAGGAAAAAAAAAAAAATCTGTGACAGGATCTCTCCCTGAAATCTGGGGCTCACTGCACTAGCCAGCTTGAGAGCCCTAAGGATCCTTTTCTCTCCACTTTACCAACATGGGGATTGCAAGAACATTGCACACTAACATGGCTCCAAATAAGGTGTAATTCTCCACTCAAGGACTTGAGTAAATAAATAAAGCAGTTAAGTACAGTAATTCTAAGGTAGCTGCTTTAATGCCACGAGCTTTCTCTCAGCCAATAGCTTTTGAGTTTGTTTACTGGTGAGAGGTGCTGGCACACAGAATGTAATCAGTTAGGTGACCTACAACTAAACACCAGCTGGTTGGCACCTGGAACCTACTCATAAATCCCCTCAACTCCTCTTTTCTTGCCACCAAGTAGAGATCACTGACTGGTCTCTGGGGTCATCCTTGGCTACAGATGCCATCACTTGCAAGTTCCCAAAGTTTAAGTTAGACAAGCTTTCTAATCTCCCCCTTTTGCTTAGTACAGACCCTCTTCAGAGAGGTCTCATCTCAAAGCATCCCTGTGTCATAGTTGTGACTTTTCCACTGGAGATGGAAAGGAAT